GTGCTTTGAAAAAGGTGCTACTGAGATACCTTAGACTGTTGGGATTCCTGAATATTTTAGATGAAAATCTTTAGACTTGCCATCACAGGTTTCACTTACAAAACAATATTTCCCTGCCCCTCCCCCCCCATGTGTGTGTAACTCTGTGAAATGAAGCGTGACACTTCAGTTCCTTTGTTACTTCTTGAAGTTCATATACATAATGACTGGTGAATATTCATGAATTCAGGAGGAAGAGTACAGAAGCAGGGATGTTACTTCAATACATCACATTTTGCTTTCTAAACTGTCACTGAATCAACACCCCAAATTTATACCTGGGGAACATCATTCAGGTACAACTTCCAGTTTCTCAGTCAAGTAAGCATAAGGTTTAGCTACTGGCAGTTAGAAGAGACCTGTTGGAGCAACCCAGGGGACAGTTTATTAACCTCTGTTCTCTGGACACATTAGAATTGGAGAAAATATACTCTCTGCTGGGCTACCAGATTCATCTGCGAGTCATATTCCACCTAAAATGAGTATGAATTAAGTGTAAGTGACTATAAGACAATTACTATACAGCTTAACTTCTATAAAAAGTACTGTTCATATCTAAACCCGACATACAGGATCTACCAAGGACTAACAGAAGCTGGGTACATAGAAAATCACTTCCCAAAAGTAGAAGATACTTTTGTTTGTTTCCTGCTGCAAGTCTTACACGTTGTCACCCTACAGTATTCATCAGTCTCAGGTTATCTACCAAGAAACTTTTTCTGAATTGTAGGGTACACACAACTGCTTCAGTTAATTATGAATCTCAATCTTTGATTTGTTGAGGGCCTGACTGAAAATCTTTTGGACATTTCCAATGACTTGATGTAGAGTCATATAAGGCTTTATGCCTTTGCATAGAAGTGTAAGTATCTGCAATATTTCCTGGCTTCTTTGTTTGTTAATTAAGAATAAAAATTATGTCCTACATTTTTAATAGATTGGTCTAATAAGTTCAAATTCACTTCTCTTCTATGGTGTCATATATTAATTCCTAATTATGAAAGCTCCAGTGAAGCTGGCCATGGTAAGCATAAATCAGTGAAAAGGGATGAAAAGTAGGTAAGAGTAGGTCAGGCTGTCAGTGAGTGGCTAGAAATATTCAGAGCAGTAAGAATATTACTTTACTAGAACGAAATTGTACTAAAACTTAATAAAGTTAAAACTGCCAATCGTATGCAAAAATGGCTGAAATATTAAAAAAGAATATATTTTGGTTTTTAAAACATGCAGGATAATGTATTCCAATCTTATAGGGGTAGCAAAATACCTTTTCCTGATTATGTATCTAGGAAGGATATAAAAATCAAATATAGTACTACTAATGCACTATAATAGTTGCATTACAAAGTCAACCGTCAGAAGTTCATCGGATGGTAGAGATTTCCTCTGGAGTTTCATTACTGTATATCATCATCTTGAAGAGCATCAAACAGATCTGAGTGCTGCTATTTTTAGCCACCTTGAGTAGTACCTTCCTTTTCTCTTAATCCTATTGTCATTTACTTGAATATTTATGGAGTAACTTGATCTCTGGTGTGCACAGTGATTTCAGGATCTATCCAGCACATAGTTTGGAGGAAGCTTTAAGCAGCACTTTGTTTTTCTGGTCCAATTCTTGCTGCTCAGCTGAAACAAGAGAAATCCCCTTCTTCCCCATGTATGTCTAACTCACTGACAGGCCCAGCCTGAAATACTGAAGTGCGATGTGCTCTCATTGCAGTTTCTGTTTTAATGTCCTCATACAACATGAAGTTTGACAAGGCTGAGTGCAAGGTCCTGCACCTGGGTCAGGGTAATCCCCAATATTAATACTGGCTAGGGGATGAAGGGATTGAGAACAGCCCTGCTGAGAAGGACTTGGGGGTGCTGGTAGATGAAAAATTAGACATGAGCCAGCAATATACACTCACAGCCCAGAAGGCAAACCGTATCCTGGGCTGCATCAAAAGAAGAGTGGCCGGCAAGTTGAGGGAGGTAATTCTTCCCCTCTACTCTGCTCTGGTCAGACCCCACTTGGAGTACTGAGTTCAGCTTTGGGGTCCCCAGTACAAGAAAGACATGGACCTGTTAGAGTGCCACAAAAATGATCAGAAGGATGGAACAACTCTCCTATGAGGAAAGGCTAAGGGTTGGGATTGTTCAGCCTGGAGAAGAGAAGGAGCCAGGAAGACCTTATTGTTTATATAGATATAATTTCTTTTGTACCAGCTTTCAATGATGAAAGTGATCAGACACTGGAAGAGGTTGCCCAGAGAAGCTGTGGCTGCCCCCTCCCTGGCAGTGTTTAAGGCCAGGCTGGATGGGGCTTTGAGCAACCTGATCTAGAGAAAGATGTCCCTGCTCATGGCAGGGGGTTAGGAGTAGATGATCTTCGAAGGGCCCTTCCAACCCAAACCGTTCCATGATTCCATGATCCATATGAGAGGACCATGTGAAAGCTCCGTGAACAACCTGAATTATAAGAACTCCTGGAGCTATTTTAAAAAAGGAGTTGGGGAAAAAAACCCCTCAAATAATTGGAAAATTTGTCAAATCTGATTTTGAAGGAGGCCTGAGCCAAGGTCAAAGTTTGATGGAGATACTCAGCATGGAAAGTTCAGCTTAAATGCTTAGTTGGGGAGAATCTTAGTAGTGACTGAAAACAGGGTCACAGAATGGTAAATCTTTAGACAACCTTATCAGTACTCATCACATCCAGTTTCAACTACCAGGCCAGTCTCAACAGTCCTAATCATTCCCCTGGTTCTCCAGTATTAGTGTTAGAGGAGCTTCATAGAGACAAGCACTTCAAAGAGCATCCTAAATGGTATTATTATAATTTGTATTTTTGGAGTAAGATTAACATGAAGCAGCTTCATCCCATTTTTCTGGGAGTACACAGACATGTACAATGCAGCTCCAATAATGCTACTCATTCAATGAGTGCAGTTTAGCTGTTAAATTAGTTTACACAGCTATAAAAATTTCCAAAGGGGAAGAAGCTGACAAAATAAGTAAATTTGCCTGATCATTGTAGAAACAGTATATGGTCTCACATCCATACTTGCTTAGAGTGGTGTAGCACAACTAACTTTAGTGGAAAAATAACTCTCAAATAAAATCATTCAATAAAGAGCAGAATTTGTATCTTTTTTTGTGTTTGATGTCATAGTCTCAGCTCTTTTTGTAGTAACCATTTTATTTCTATTTAAACTTGTCATGTTCATCCACAATTTTTAAGAATGACAATGTGCAGTTATTTGGATTTCTGCTAATTCTTCCTTCTGATTTAGAGATTTTTTTACCATATATTTCTTAGCCATCCAGAGTCTCTTTTTGACTTCTGATAATTTTTCTCACTATGCTCGTGTATTTTCTTCCCTAGTTTCTACATTTTTCACTAGCAATTGCAACATACTTGCTCCTCCATTTTTCTTTGGAAAGGCGACCTGTTAAACTTCAGGGAGTTGGCAGTCTCTGCTTCATGTGGACAGAGATCCTGAGATATGTCTTGGGTAAAACAGGCAGGCAGACAGCAGTATTGATTGTTCCTACTTTTTTTTTTTCTGTATACAAGTTCTATTAGGAGCTTCCAAAAGTGACAAGGGAGCTCTAACAGCTGTCTCAGCTCTCGGCTCATGAGAAACCCTCAGCTTCTTATATATATCCTCCTGCACAATCAGCAGGGAAGACTAAGGTGCCAAACTTGGCAATGGGCTTGTAGCAGCTTCTATAAGTTTGATAGTGGGAAGTTTTGCTCATACTGCTGTTCTAGATTCATGCTCTGGGTACATTTACATGTAATGCTTACTTTTTGAGAAATTATTTACAATTCTGTTTATCAGGATGGGAAATTATCAGGTCCAGGTCTACTAATATTATTATAATCCCTGCAGAGAGAAGAACCAGCTGTATTTATTCCTTAAATAACTCCTTGCTCGGTACATACTTTCTTCTCACTCTAGTCTTTGCTGAAGCCTTTTCTGGAATTCCTGTAGTGCTGTGGGCAGGGTGAAAGCCAGATTAGTTATGTAGTGAAAACCAAACTATTCCTTGAGGGCTGAGTCTGCTTGGGCAAGTGTTAACAGAATGTATGCAGAGCATGTTACAGATGTGTGGGCAAGCAGACTGCAAAACACAATGTTGTCAATAAAGCTGCAGAACTTGAGGGCTTCAGTGTTTCTCAGGCTTCCTTTATTCAGAGCCAGAGGGCTTCTGTAATTTCTTTTGCACCAGTTTCCTCCTGAGGGACAGCTTTCTTTAAAAGAAAACAAAGGATAAGAGAGAGGTAAGGCCTGTCTGAAGAGACCAGAGAGATCAGTCTCCTGAAATTGATGCCTGAAGGTAGGGAATTTACGGTCAGGTAGCCTGCATAGTAGAGAGAGGCAACAATTCTTATTTGAAAATAACAGAGACAGGTGCAGTCAAAAGTCTGTAGCAACAGCATCTATTGGCAAATTATCGCTAGGCCAGGAAGACCTACTTGCCAATGAGAAGTTGTAGCCTCTTCACTGCTTCTTATGGTAATGTTTTGCTTTTTTCTGATTCTCTTCCTGATATGCTTTTCTAGCAGAGCAAATAATAATTATAAATTATAATTGTGTAGCTGTATTCTTACCCAACAGCAAACTGAGCCACGATAGTGTCAAACAAAGCTGCAAGCAATTTCTCATTTAGGAAAACAAAGTTTTCCGTATTACGGCTATGGGAAAACGTTGTCATTTCTCAACTGATGGCATACACTGTTCTAGATGTAATGATCTTCTTTGGTTATGATGGTGATGAACTACTATGCAATTGCATGTCAAGTTTTGACTGCACCTGTTTGCAAACTCAGGTAATTATGCTCCGTTGTCTAATTGCTTATTTTATGGATGTTTTGCTCACATGTTTTAAGCAATGCTATTTGATTGCAGATAACTAATGGTAGGATTCTCTTCTCATTATCATATTTTAACGTTTGATCTGTCTGGTTGCTGCAGGTGGAAACAATAGGTGATGCGTACTGCGTTGCGGCAGGGCTCCATAAGAAAAGCCTTAGTCACGCTAAAGCCATTGCCCTGATGGCACTGAAGATGATGGAGCTTTCAGAAGAGGTTCTCACTCCAGATGGAAGCCCTATTAAGGTAACCCCTTTGCTCTTTATTCTCAGCTAGTCAGTAGTGCTTGGACCTGATTAATTCCATTGTGTTCTGTCAGTAGAAATCTCTTTATTACTAGGAGAATTTAAAATTTCATTAATATATCACAGTCTTTTTTATGGATCTGTATTTCGCTGGTGTCCATCAACAATCATGTAAGCTCTGCCTTACTTTAGTAAGCACAGTAGACCACCCAAACTAGCTGTCGCCTTGTCATATGCATTGAATGCCTGTTTGTGGCTGGAGGGCATTGGATGCACTCCTGGAGCTCTTCCAATTCAGTTTAGTGTTAGAAGAAAATTCTCGTGATCCAGGACTGTCCCATGCTACAAGCCAAAGCATGGTATGTGATGGCAATAGGGAAATTCGCTTCAGAAGTAGACTCCTGATCTGAAATTCAGCACTAGTGTAGAGGCGCTCAGAGGCTTCTGAGGCTCTAAGGGTCATGTGCCTCTTTTCTACATAGTTGTTGACCTGAAGGATGTATAGACTGCCTCCTCTTTCTCAGTGTTAGTGTGCTTCCTTCCCACGCTATGCTAGTTCCTTCTCCTAGATTGGGACAGGAGGTAGCAGGAGGTGGAAAACCACATGTCCTTTTGTACCATTTTAAAGGTCCTCTGCTGTTCTGCTTCTCTTCATCTTATACCAGCCTTGTAGCCGCTGGCATTTGGAACTCGTAATGTTTAGGTAGGAGATGGAGATTCAGCAGGGAAGAAAAACCATGGAGATGTATATGTGCCTTTCTTTTCAAGGGTCAGATTACATGCTGTTTTCATTATGTGTACTCACTCCTGTTTTTGCTTAAATTGTTCTTCCCATAATACAAACCTTTTGTTTTCAAAGAAAATGGGGGTATTATGTAGAACAATTATTCAACACTGTCTAAAGCCTATAACAAAAACCATATATAGCTGGATGAGAAGGCCCGACAGACTTCCCATAGGATGATTTATATCAGTTCATCGTATTTGAACTGAAAGTAGAGGTACTGACAAGCTCCTCAGTGGGTGTTTGTTGTCCTGTCTTCACTTTTAGATATAATAGATGTCAGGGTAGGAGCAATGGTGATATCATAGAACGTTGTTGTTACTTTTGTACCTAACCTGGTAAATCGTGTTTAAAAATACTTATCTTTCACAGAGGCATCCTGATTTGATTTTTAAATGTATTAAGGTTAAGATTCTGCTCACATGAATGTCTACCCTGTAATTGGGTAGACAAATTTTCAGAACTATTGAAATAAGCACTTTTGGAGAAGTCTACTTTAATTTGTCCTAGTTTAGGTGTCTACTCTAGGATGAGATGAATCACACCCTAAAAATGTGTATTTTCTCAGCTGTCTGTAAGGGAAGTCTATGGACTTAGCCTAAATGTGGATGTCTACACTGTAAGCTTCTACACTCTATCAGATGAGTCCTCCTACAAATGGCAAAGGACGCATAGTTTTTCTCAGTGGTTATGTCAATGATTGTCACAGTTGAAAACATATTCATTATTTCTAAATTGAGCTGGCATGACTTTACCTTCCAGCCAATGCTGAATTGCCTAGAGTGATCCCTATTTTTTTAGCTGCCAGTTTTTCACTTAAAAAACATGAAGGTGCCCGTTGTGCCACAGATTCCCATTAACAAATGCTACATGTGCATAATAATATCTTAAAGCTTTGTCAGGGGAAGTTCAGCTTGGGTATTAAAAAAAGTAGTCAAGCGCTGGAACAAGCTTCCCAGGGAAGTGGTCATGGCCCCAAGCCTGTCAGTGTTTAAGTGTTTGGACAACACTCTTAGATTTATGGTTTAACTTCTGGGTTGCCCTATGTGGAGTCAGGAGTTGGACTTGGTTCTATAACCTACCTGAAATTTAAGGAACCCCTAGGTATGTGTAACAGTTACTATGGACTCAGCTCAGGACCATTAATAGGAGACTTACTGAATGACACATGTTACAAATAAGCCTTGCCATTAAAATATTTAAATATTCATTAACAATAGATACAAAGTACACAATGTAGGCCTTAAGACATTTATATGTGGCCTGACTTCTAAACAGTGAACTAAATTATACTGTAATGTGGTTACTTTGAGCTGGTCCTGTTGATATGGATGGGAAAACAAGTGCAGTATTTTGACTATATTTTGACCTTGATTGGTATCCGTGATTCATGTTAACAAGCACAAGTCACATTTTCTGAGTCCTTGCCAAATGTGTTGAATATAGAATGCTGACGCAGATTTTGTTTTCTTGTATCAAAAAACCTACATCAGTATTTGTATATTCAAGAAGAAGTTGGAATCAGAGGGCAGTTTTCCTCGTGTCCAATGTTTTATATCTTTGACAGCTTTCATGAATTGCTGTGAATGAATTCCAGCCTTATTCTTCAGGATAATATAGTAGCTATTTTGAAAATAAGACAGCTACTTCACTAAGTCTGAGACAATTTTTCAAAACATAATTCCTAAAAGTAAGAGACCTTCTGCTCTCAGGAGTAAACAACAGTGTTCTGTTTTCTCGCCCCAAAACTGACTGATAAGCCTTGATTAAATAGGAGGAAATAATTCTCAGCCATTTCATATAATACATGACACCATAGTTATTTGCAGTTCAATTTCTGTTAGCAAGTTAACAATTACAGCACAGTTACTCTGTTCTGATTGTGTTTTCTAGTAAGAAGAAAACATGCTAAATTCTCCTTGGTGTTTGTGGGGGATTTCTTTTCCAGAGCTATATCTTTTATCTAAGCTCTCTGAGGTCAGCACTGGAAATCGCAAGTTCAGGAGTTGTTTCCCGGGTTTGTGGGCTGCGACTGGTACAATGCACGTTTAAGAGGCTGATTACTTATTGGGCAACATTTTTTTAAACTGAGTCATTATGAATCTGGGTTGTCCTGGTTGCAGGGATTTCAGATCTAGGGAAACCTAACTGCAGTTATGAAGTGCAATGCTTTTTGTTTAATGATTACACAATTAGATATGTCTAAATTTATGATTAGGGTTTATGGAATGTATGTATTTTCTGAATTACTTCGATGGATGTATTTTGTGTCATCTTAGGACTGAATTCACCAGAATGCAAATATTTACTTTTTGTAGTGCTTGAAATGTGAACATCCCTGTGATAGCAGCAGATATCTTATTAAAGGACACTTAGAGTCTCATAAAGTTAGAAAGAAAAAGTAAATAAATGAAAGAAAAAAATACCATATTGTATAAACAGGAATTTAGGATAAGATTTTCACCTATAAAGTGCATTAGCAGACAATCAAATAAAGTTTATTATCTGGGTACACAGTTGTCATTTGAAAGCATTCATTGTAGCCATTGCAAAAATACCTTGTTTGCATAATTCTCCATACTTTATAAAAAAATCTGCCCCTTAGAGCAATGTTTTTGTGGCCAGTAAACAGTGATGGACCTCAGGATGATGAGAAAGTGTACGAAGCAGGTCTGGTTTATATCTGGATGATCACAGAATCACAGAATCACAAAATCACAGAATGGCAGGGGTTGGAAGGGACCTCTGGAGACCATCTAGTCCAACTCCCCTGCCAAAGCAGGTTCACCTACAGCAGGTTACACAGGACTGCATCCAGGCGGGTTTTGAATATCTCCAGGGAAGGAGACTCCACAACCTCTCTGGGCAGCCTGTTCCAGTGCTCTGCCACCCTCAGAGTAAAGAAGTTTTTCTTCATGTTCAGGTGGAACTTCCTGTGCTCCAGTTTGTGCCCCTTGCCCTTTGTCTTATCACTGGGCACCACGGAAAAGCGTCTGGCCCCGTCCTCTTGACACCCACCCTTTATAAGTGTTGATAAGGTCCCCTCTCAGTCTTCTCTTCTCCAGGCTAAAGATCTACAGGTCTCTCACCCTCTCCTCGTAAGAGAGATGCTCCCATCCTCTAATAACCTTTGTAGCCCTCCGCTGGACTCTCTCCAGTAGTTCCTTGTCCCTCTTGAACTGGGGGCCCCGGATCTGGACACAGTACTCCAGATTTGGCCTCACCAAGGCAGAGTAGAGGGGGAGGAGAACCTCCAGCCCCCGAGACAGAGCTCATAGCATGCTGGTGAGAGCACCATGGTGTACTGCTGACACATATTCAGGCACTTGACACTTCCAGCGGAACCAAAGGCAGCAGAAATGCATAAGCAGAATGGAGACCCTGAGTCTGCACCCCTTATACCTGCGTGAATAGCCTGTGGTTTGCAGGGTAATGAAAAAATATTGTTTTGCAGAAAAAGAGAGTGAGCTATATTATAGCTGCCCCCACAAATCCCATCATCAGTGTTGTAACACAGTCTGCTCTTTTTGCAAGAAATATTTGTAACAGAAAATGGGCTGATCATTCTCCTGTGAGTGATGGAGAAGGCTTCAGGTCCCTGTATGATTTTTTTTTAATCTCCCTTCTGTTTGAGGCAAAATCCCATTATTTTAGCATAAGCTAAGGCCTTAGTACAAAAAAAGGGACTTTGGGCTCAGACACTGCATGTAGAATTGGATATACATTTATATCCTTTAAGCAAAACACTTTTTAGTCCAGAAGCTGTCGTTTTGATTTATTTTCTGTACAAATAATTATATGTAGTGCCCTATGACTGTAGTTTGAAAATATTGATTTAAAATTGCCTCCTACATTAAATGTTACTTGAGTTTAGGATATGCCTCACATTTTACTACATTTTTTTAGATAAACTGGAAATACATTAATTTTAATAGCTAGAGATAATTCTCCAGAGCATTGACCTTTAGAGATAAAGGTCACAATGCAGATCTCATTTGATGTGCTAAAACCCATAGGATATTATTGGTGGCATCACTTTTTATCATGCTTCAAATCTTGCCTAATTAACTAATGTGCATTCTATAACCTGAAGAAACAGAAAGGCTTCCTTTTCAGTTTATTGTTAAAAGGACTACTCTGGCAGAACGTAACCAGTTTTGGCTAATGAGATTTCCCAAGAGGTTAATCTCTAACATTACCTGCTTGTTTTTTATAGT